TTTTATATGTTTCAATAAAGGTGCAATTAATTTACAAATTCATGAATTATTCATACAAAAAACAAATCATTAACCTTTGTATTTGTTTTTTGTATAAATAATTCATGAATTTTTATATATATATATATATATAATAAAACATAGAAAACCGATAGGAATAATTAAATAAATAAAATTAAAAAACAAGTAAAATATATAAATAAGTAAACAACCGCTACCGTCAAAATAACCACAATGCACCACTGACCCATATATATAAATAGTTGAGGAAAAATCTCACACTCGCAGCCTGATGATTGCATCTAGCATGAAACAGTCTGTCACCTGAGTGTTGACTTCAATGTTAACTTTTATATTTTGATATATATATATATTAAGCCCTAATTAATAGTTCAGACAAATTATATACATAAAGCATTTATTCGTGAAAGTTTATACCATTTAGCCTGCTTAAAGGTAAAAAAAAAAAAAAAACTTCCTGTACTCGTTTTTGACCTCATCCACAATGTTGAGCCTTTGCCGATGCAGGAAATAATCTGTGGCTCAGAAAAGGTGGTAATCTGATGGTGCAAGGTCTGGACTGTAGTCAGGTTGAGGCAGCACTTCCAGCCTCTTGCATTCTTCATGTTTGCACTGGGGGCATTGTTATGCTGTAGGTATTTCATTGACCAATGCTGGGTTGCAAGCTTTCAAAGCAACAAATACTCACTGCTGTCAGCATTCACAGCATGACCATCTAGGACAAGATCAAAGTTCAGCACCCTCTTGAAATTCCACCAAGCACACAACATGAACTTCTATTTAAACAGCTCTTGTTTCACAACTAGCTCTGAAGCCTTGCCAGAACAAACCACTGATTTCTCTTATTAGGTTTCTGAGAATAAATCCATTTTTCATCCCCAATTACAATTCAACACCAAAAACGGACATCCTGAGGATTTGCCAGCAGTTGTGCGCTTATGTTCACAGATCATTGGGCCTGGTCATTATCCAGCTCATGAGGTACTTCTCTACACCATCTGTTTACAAGGCCAAGATTATGAAGGTGACAATCGATAATGCTTTGTGAAGGACCAAGTTCTGCTAACAATGTAGGAGTGCTTGTGCTTGGCTGCTGTTCAACGATTTTAAGCAAGGCCTCATTTTCCGCAGCAGAAGGTTCAGTCTGGCATCATCTTCCTTGAAAAGTTTTGTGCTACGCATTCGTTGAGAGTTCCTGGGTCTTCCACATCATTAATTTCTCTTACCACTGCCCTTTGCACTCTGTCCTTTCGTATTAAATCGCTCTAGTATCTGTCTATATTTCTGAGATAAGGTATTATGTACACTATTTACATTATTCAGACTATTGTCCTCATCTTTGTTGCCATATTTATTACAACGTTTTGGCCGTTGTATGCTCCGACCTTCTTCATATAGTTGGAATTTCGAACTGGACCCTTTATTTCGCTTACTGGGGTAGACTGTTCTCAAGGACACATGGTACAGTGGATAAAGGCGTCGGTTAAATCCAGTGACAGGACCCAAAGAGTGTGAGTTCAATACCTGGTTAAGGCAGTGGAGAACTTGCAGAGGGAAATTAACAGGAGATAACTGACATCTATTAAACATGGCACGTGAAACTAGAACAGTCTACCCCAGTGAGCAAAATAAAGGGTTCAGTTCGACATTCCAACCACCTGAAGAAGGCCGTGGCGTACAACGGCCGAAACATTGTACTGAATATGGCGACAATAGTCTGAATAATGTAAATAGTGTAAATGGCTCTAAATCAGTTTTTTCCACCACTTATTATCAAAGCTGTAAAATAAAGAATAAACAATGGATACGAGCCAAATCCCTGTCTTACGAACATTTTTCTTAATAGTTTAAAAATAATTCAACAGACAATGTTATTTTATTTATGGTAAATGGATTTTTGACGATTGTCTTATTTGGTTTCCATTGTTTGATACTGTGCCTCTGAAAAATGGCACTTTTATTGCAGTTACCATCAGAGTTGTCCTTCTCTTAGATTGGTTGCCAACCAAGGCTATTTACCTATAGAAGTGGATTCATGCCTTTCCAAAACTCAAACTCGTCTCTAAGATTTCTCATTCGAAGAATTATTTTTATAATAATCCTTTCTAGTTCTCTAATTAGCTTCTTGTTAAGTTGAAAATCATCTAGGAAGGCGCCATATTTTTCGTTAACCCAAGTTCTTTCAATCTCCTTTGAGATCATCATCAGCATAAAAATAATAAACAAAATCTTCAAAATCTCAAGTCCCACTATATCAAAAGCAAGCAACCAACACTGAACAAAATTTATTGCGAGTATAGTAGCAACGTTTTAAAATATATTTGACCAACATTTAATGCCATTTGCAATACCCTTTTTTTTACCATCTCTGGTTGGCTCCCTTGTATTGTAAACGCTTGTCTACGAAAAATGCCATACCAAAACTGAAATGGATAATTTTAAAATAATTATGACAGAGGATGTTCACACGTGTTTAACAAAAATCCCTATCACAATGATCACAGTTAGATTAAGTTTGTCTTTGCAATTCACCCCTGAGGATGATCTCTGAGAAGACTGAAAGTACTTGGGTTAACAAAAACTACACCCTCTTCGTTGATGAATTTTAAGTTAACATTAAGAAGCTAATTAGAGAACTAGAAAGGATTATTATAAACTATGTCTATATTATTTAATCAAAAATACATATATATATGTAAGCAAATATATGGATATAGATCCGACAGTATGAAGAAAAATATACAGAAAAAACAAGCAAAAATCTTAATATGCAATTATGCCGTATTAATGTTAATATAAAGTCAACGTCGGACGTTTCGGTCTATTTTAGACCATCTTCAGGACATTTTCATTTAAACATAATTAACATTAGAACATATAAAAATTTAACATGAAAAGAGGATGGACATAAGAGCACAACTAATCCAAACCGATAACTGAAAATATAAGAATCTATTGATCAAGTAAGGAAAAGATTTATTATCGAACTGTTTTTAAAATTGTTCCATCATTCTGATATTTTGAAATCATTTTTGATTTGCTTTGTAACGTGGAGGACTTCAAGCTTGTATGAAGATATAAGAACCTATTGATCTCTGCGTATTCCTATATCAACAGAAGGGATTTCTTGAACTGTTTATATGAGAAAATAGTTCAATCGACTTTTTTTAATATCTTAATATTTGGAAATCATCTTGAATCGTTTTTCACAACATCGCCCAAGTGACGACGACGTGATCATATTTAAACGAACGCTGATCTTATATAAAAATTTCAGTTATCTGTTTGGATTAGTTGTGCTCTTACGTCCATCGTCTTTCATGTTAAATTTTTATATGTTCTAATGTTAATTATGTTTAAATGAAAATGTCCTGAAGATGGTCTTAAATAGACCGAAATGTCCGACGTTGACTTTATATTAACATTAATACAGCATAATTGCATATTAAGATTTTTATTTGTTTTTTCTGTATATTTTTCTTCATATATATATATATATATATATATATATATATATATATATATATATATTATATATATATTTTATATATTTTATATATTTTCCTATATATTATATATGCCTGGTACTTATTGGAAAGTGCTCAATATCAGCAGTAGAGCTAACATATTAAGTTGCATTGTCTGACAATCACAAAGTGTGTGAAACGCAGGGTCACAAACTCACATCCAGAGCGTACAACAGCCAAAACATTGTGAATATAGCAAAGAAGATGAGGATAACAGTCTGAATAATGCAAGTAATCATAATACCTCATTTCACAGATATAAACACAAAAGATTTTTAATTAAACAGAGTCTTGTTTTTTTTTTTTTTTTTTGCAATTTTTATTTTATAATTCAGGGCAAATTTTCTGTCTCTGGGGATTCTGTTTGACCAAAAACAATTCGATTTAAATTGTCCATGGATATTTTTTATTAGGTTTTGTGCATTTTTTTTTCATCATGTATCTTTTTGTTTTTCTTTCTTTTTTTCTTTTTAAATTTGTATTTCATATTTATCGTACTTTTTGCTTGTGAAACTCTCTTCCGGCTTCTTGCTTTCCAGTCAACTTTGATCTTCAAAAATTTAAATGCAATGTCAATCGTTATCTTTTGTCTTCTTTTATTGTTCCCACTCATTAATTTTTTTTTTTTCTCATATTCTCTCACACTCAGTAACCTCTTGCATCTTAGTGGCTTTATTGCCTTGCACAGGAGAAAGAAAAAAATAATGTATCCTCTTTCTTAGTGAATTTTTGGAGATGCTTATATTTCTATGCTGAAGAGGAACCCTTTTCTCAAATGATTAAAAAATAAATATTTTTCAATCTCAACAAATATCGTGTTTAGAAAATATTTTAATAAATATTAATCAACAAAAATTAGTCACCAAAAATTAAGTTTACCTTTTTTTTTTTATTATTACTATATTTTTTTTTTTTTTTTCTTTTTTACTAAATGGACCTTTTCTTTCCTCCATAGTGCCTTTTAAGATATTTCTTTTCTCAGATTTATGTTCAGTATTTAAATTCTATAAGTAATTGTCTTTTCTTTTTTTTTTTTAATTTTCAGGTATATTCTCCAAGAAATAAGAGCCAATTTGGTTTTTGAAGAGTAATTTTAAAAAGTCATCAAGTTACAGAATGTAAGACCAGCTCTTCTCTTCATAGTAAATACTGGGGAACATTGTCCCCTTCCTTCCCGCCAAAAAAAAAAAAAAAGGAGAAATATTCCAAGAAAGCAACTGGAAAAGGAAAAATATTGATATACATAATTAAAATTGTTTTTAAGGTAGACATTTTAAAAAAGTCTGCTGTATGCTTTAAAAAAAACTTTTTTGCTTTTGACAAGGTTTCTCTGAGACTTTTGTCTTTATGTCTGCATATACGACGTGAAAAGCTTTGTCTATATATATATAAATAAATATATATATATATATATATATTTTACTTCCCTAATCTCTTTTCATCTCGACAAATATGGATGCCTCTTCCAAACTTCCCGCCGCGAAAGTCCCGACGACGCTGTCGATTCCGAAAGTGGAAAAACAGATGACGGCACACGACAAGGGGGACAACTCGTCCGATTACCGCTGCGACATGTGCGGCAAAACCTATTCGCAGTTGTCGCACTTGGAGAACCACCGGACAATCACGCACTCGCTCACGTTGCGGATCAAGAACAACAGCTACCACCAGAACACCAACCACCATTACCGCGGCCAACAGGTCGGCCTGGATGGCACGATCAAGTCGCACAAGTGTGAAGAGTGTGGCAAGTTCTTCACTCGGGGCTACCATCTCGACCGGCACAAGTTGATACACACTGGTATCAGGCCGTACAAGTGTACTGTCTGTCAGAAAGAGTTCACCCGGAACTACCATCTCGACCGGCACATGTATACGCACACCGGGGAGAAGCCCTACAGCTGTGAGATATGTGCCAAGGCCTTTTCTCGTACGGACAAGCTCAAGAAACACACCTTGACACATCTCGCCCCACTTATAAAGAGATCAGATGAATTTCAGTGAATTTTGGATTTCATGTCTCTGAACAAAAAAACAACAGAAAAAATATCTGCTCCAGAACCCCCAACATATATATATATATATATATATAATTTTTTTTTTTTTTTTTTAAATATGTTTTTGGAGGTAATTGGAATCAATATATATGGCTTGTATTTTACATACGAGAGGTAACTGGTTTTCAAACCAGGTCACTCAGGCCAATAAGGAGCCCAGGAGCAGGCATCTGGCAAGGAAGATTTAAAAAAAAAAAAAAAAATTCTAACGAACTAATTAGAAATTAATATATTCTGTGTGTTAATCCAGACAAGAGTTGTAAAGGCTGCTTTGCGATATTTACTGCAGCATTTTTTTTCTTATTTTTTTTTAAATATTGTTCACTGAATATAAGAAGAGCCACTCAAGGTAGAGGGTTACTGAATGAGGTTGTTGTTGTTGTTGTAAGGTATCCTCAGATAGAAGAAATTAAAATATATTCATAAGTATGACATGGAATTTGAATAAACAGTGCAAGAGAGTCGATTACGGTGCAGGTGGGTCTCCCTTAATTTTCAAAATTTTTAATAAGCATACCTCCCATCCCCGTTTAAATTAGAGGCAACAGTAGACGAATAAGGGGCCATCTTTTATTAGCTGTACATAGTTTGAAAATCGCGAAAACGTGAAACCTAAGGTCACAAACAACTCTCCATGCAACAGGATATGTTAGGTCTATCACGGATATTGAGCACTTCCCACTAAATACACACACACACACACACACATATATAGAGAGAGAGAAAAAGTTGCAAATTAAAAAGAAAAGCAAACAGTAATTTTAATTTATTTGTAACAGTTATTTCTGAAGAAAGATTGAGGTCAATCTGAAATATCAAATATATATATATATATATAAATACTTTCATAAAAAAACATTTTTTTAATTTACAACTTTTTGTATATATGCATATTAAGAAAGTATACGTGGCTTCTCATTATGCTATATATATATATATATATATATATACATACATACAGGGTGTTCCAAAAGTATTGAGCACATTTTGACATTGAATATCTCAAACTATTAAGGATATAAAAACACACCTGACATATTCTGAAAGAATTTAATTTCAATTTTTACATAGAATGTTCAAACATGTTCAATGTGAACACCGTTGGTCACACGGCACACATCAAGCTGATAGTCCAATTCATGCCAAACACATTCCAGCATTGCGTTGTTGATGGTTGCAACAGCTTCCGTTATTTGGGCCTTCAGTTCATCCACGTCTTTTGGAAAGGTAGGGGGCCCATAGACCAGTCCTTTCACAAACCCCCACAAAAAAAATCTCAGGATGTAAGATCTGGACACCTGGGAAATGCACGTTGAACAATTGTCTATGATTCAGCTTTTGCAAATTCAAAGACGCATATTGCCTTTCCTGGTTGAGTGAACACCATGACTGGATCTGAAAAAATCATTAGCATTACAAAAAACTTAATGAATTTAGCTTTAAATTGGTACCAGTTTCATCTTACTACCATTCATAGTTCAGCAGATATGAGGACTTGAAATGTAACCAAGACTTCTGGAACACCCTGTGTGTGTGTGTGTGTGTGTGTGTATATATATATATATATATATATATATATATAAAAAGACATTTTTATGTTTACCATTCTTTTCATAGATATAAATATTTAAGTAAATGTTCTGTTTATAATAAACAGTATTAAACAACATTTACCGGCCTGAATGTCCGAGAAATTTTCACAGAAAATATTCGTCCTCTGACAGGATTCGAACCTGTATCCTATACGGATCCGTCATTTAGCTTGATGTGCCTTTACCGATTTGGCCACGGAGGGCAAATATTTTCTGTGAAAATTTCTCGGACATTCAGGCCGGTAAATGTTGTTTAATACTGTTTATTATAAACGGAGCATTTACTTAAATATTTGTATCTATAAAAAGAATGTTAAACATAAAAATGTCTTAAAATAATTGTCGGACTTTGTCCATTTCATATAATATGTATATATATATATATATATAACAGTATATCTTCATTCAAGCATGTTTAGGTTGAATAATCTGGGCATATTATGTCTGTTTTTATTTTAATCCTCTCAAATTCCCAGATCAATTTCTTAATATTGTTATTAAACTGATTAAGAAAGAAGTTGTAGTTTTTGTCATTTCTTTTATTTTCCCAAGTACTTTCAATCTCATCCAAGATGATCTTCAGTTTTAGAGAAATATTAATTGACATTAATCTTTCACCATGAAAATAAAAAACAAATTCTTGCGGCACTCTATATAAAAATAAATATGAACAACCCTAAATAAGATTATGACTATAACAACAATTTTTTAAAATACCTATAAAAGCAACGTTTTGGGAATTGTAAAAAAGAAATTTAGTTTTTAAATTGTAGTCTGAGTATTTAAAACATTAATAATAAAAACATATAAATGAAGTTACCTCCCTTACATGCATCTTATTGTTGACTTAATTTT